AACTGTGCTGTACACATGTGAAGAAATGTAATCAAAGCTGCTCAGTCAGTTGTTGGCTACACAGATAGGAATGAGGTTGTTTTATTCCAGTTCCTAGTCTTTCTTCAGTCCCACAGGGTGAGCTTTCCTACTCACCCTCAAATTTTGACCTAATGACATCCCCGAGGGTTACTGAAACCCTGGAGGTCCATGGCTGCCTCTGCTAGGACTCTTCCATTCTCCTCCCAAAAGGAAGGCCCCACCATTACCTATGCATTGTCTCTAAGACCTGCCATCCTGCACCTGGTCCACTAGGTTTGGGTCCAACTGTTGCCATAACTGGCAGAGGAACTACCCCACTTCTCAGCAGGAACACTGGGGGCACTTGGGTATCCCAGCATAGCTGGGTCCCAGTTGTCGTCTCTCTAGTGGTCCTAGTTCTGTTTTGTCTTCCCCATGTTTCAAGTTAGGAACCTTTGGCCACCATCACTCAGGGGCTCTGTGAGCCCTGATCAGCGCCCCTCTGAGGGCTGAGTCCTGTGGTAATTTCATTTAACTTTTTGAGGAAATACCATCCTGTTTTTCACAGAAGCTATACCATATTATATCCTCACCAGGAGTGCCTCCACACCCTTACCAATACTGGTTTTATGTTTGGGAGTATTTTAGTAGTAGTCAGCCTAGTGGGTGTGGAGTGGTATCTCATTGTGGCTCTGATCTGCATTTCCCTAGTAATTTGTGATATTGAGCATCTTTTCATGAGCTTATTAGCTGTTTGTGTATCTTCTTTGGAGAAATGCCTATTCGAATCCTTTGCCTATTTTTAAATTGTTGTTGTTGTTGTTTAGTTTTGGGAGTACTTTATATATTCTGGATATTAATTCCTTGTGAGATATATAATTTTTCTAACATTTCCTATTTTTTTGGGTTGCCTTTTCACTCTCTTGTGTCCTTTGATGCACAAGTTTTTAATTTTGATTAAGTTCTACGTTTAGTTTCACAGAAAACTGCCAGTCTCTTATTTCCAAAGTAGTTGTGCCACTTCATACTGCCAGCAGCAGTATAGTGTTCCAATTGATCTACATCTTTGTCAACACTTGGTATTGCCAGTCTTTTTAATTTTAGCCATCTGCTGAGTACATAATAGTATCTAATTGTAGATATATTTATATCTTCCTGATGACTGATGGTGTTGAGCACTGACTATTTGTATATCTTTGTGAAATATTTGTTCAAACCTTTAGCCCACCATTTTGTCAGGGGTTTTTTTTTTCAGTTTATCTTTTTTTGGGGCTTTGATTATGTTTTATTAAATTGTAAGATTGGCTGATATTTTCCAGTTTCCTTATCTATAGGTAGCAGGTATGAATTCCTCCGTGACACCTAGGCTATCAGAAATGCCAGGCTCAGCTACTGTCCATAGTGTCTGAAGACATAAAAGCCCACTTATGAGAAAGTATATCCACTCCCATTCAAGGCATGGGGGTCCATGCCAGGAAGAATGAGGGGGAGGCCACAGAATGTTGGGGTTTGAGGGGTGGGGCAGTGGGAGTGTCTAATAGTGTGATTTGAAGTGGGGTTGCATTCAGTGGCCCTGGCAAAGAAAGGAAAGATAACCCAGGAAAAACTGGGAGTGCCCAACCCCAGAGGCCCAGCTGCCGGGATGTCCTATTTGGCAGCAGGTCTTGCCTACCCCCCACTCTGAAAATAACACGGAGTGCAGCCCTTTTCTCTTTCCCTCAGTGAACTGTGCAAAGAATGTCACAAAGAATTTGCACAAGGATTATTAAACATTTGAGTGAACCCAATATCATCAAACAGAGAAAGCCAGAACCTTTCCCAGACTCCCTTGAGGTTAGGTGAGACCGTTGACTCGGCGTCAGCCAATGGAATGTGAACAGAAGTGTGTGCACCACTTCTGGCCTGGTCTGGTTTTAAGCACCTCCACTCTCTCTTTTCCTCTTTCTGCTAGCTTGTCTTCTGGGCTTGGGCACTCCCAGCTTGTTCTGGGTGATCCCAGCTACCTCAAGTGCTGCCTTGTGTCTCGGCTCTAAACTCCCATCATCCCATCATTGTTGCCTGGGTTACGATGGAGATGCGTAGGAGACAGTGCTGCCTGCTTCTGCTTCAGTGCCCCAACTACTTACCCCAGCAGTTGTTCCTGGATCTCTTCCCGCATCTTCATCCCCTTTGGGATTGGAGCACCCTAATAGCTGCTCCCAGTACCCTTAGAAAGAGTCATTTATTGGCTTCTCTAAGCATCATGGGCTGAGATTTCCTTCAGTCTAATTTTGCCTTCTTTTAGTCACTCCTTGCAAGGTGATGTTAGAAGTTACATGATGAAGGAGATAAGAATTCCATGTTGACTTCTGTCAAAATAGACGCCTAAGTGCGCAGGGCAATTCTGCTTCCCCACTGCACTTCATAGGAATGGGAAATGAACTTTCTTTCATGTGTTAAGCTGAGTTTGGGGTGGGGTTTTTTTCCTGTTACAGCAGTTAATATTGTCTTCACTAATAGAAACTTTACAATTTCCTTGAAGAAATTAAGGAAGCGTATCACATCCATGAAACGAAGATAGCCAGTTGTAGGAAGGAACCAATTAAAGAATCCGTAAATAAAAATGTGAAACCATGACCTGGCTGGGAGGCTCAGTTAGTTGAAGTGTCATCCTGTACACCAAAAAGTTGGGGGTTCGATTTCTGGTCAGGGCACATATCTACATTGTGGGTTTGATCCCCGGTCGGGGTGCCTATATGAGGCAATCAATCAATGTTTCTCATGTTGATGTTTCTCTCTCCCTTCCTCCCTCTCTAAAATCAATAAATAAAAATTTGAAGAAAAAAAAACTAATAAACAGCCCTGGCTGGTGTGGCTCAGTTGATTGGGTGCCGGCCTGCAAATCAACCGGTGGCTGGTTCAATGCCCAGTCTAGGGCACACGCCTAGGTTGCGGGTCACATCCCCAGTAGGGGGGGCGGAAGAGGCAACCACACACTGATGTTTCTCTCCCTCTTTCTCCCTGCCTTTCCCTTTCTAAAAATGAGTAAAATCTAAAATAAACAAACAGACAAACAAACATATCCTTCAATGAGGATTAAAAGTATGAAACCATTGAAATTTAAAACCCAGTAGATGAGATGAATCTGATTACATAAACTCAATTTGAAAGAAAGAAAGAAAGAATAAAAAAACAGTGAACTGAGGATTTGGCTGAAGAATATTCCCAGAATGCAGTCAAATAGTGCCCCAAACCCAAGTTAGCAGGCCTGCCAACTGAACAGACATGGTGATTCATTTATGCAGCACCAACCAGAGGGCAGATTTGACAGTGACTATGCAGCAAATTATTTAGCTTCTGTTTAGGATTTGTCTGGATAAATTCAGACCCCAAATGATTCATGTTATTTGACTAGGTAGATTAAAATACAGAGCAACTATCATTCTTCCCCTTGTACTGTGTAACAGAACATCTGTTGGTCTGAAGTCATTCATTTTTCCTTTTAGTGTGAATTCGATCACGCCTTTATCCACCCGCCCACCCATTCATCCATGTAACAAATACCCGGACCTAACAAACACACTCTAGATCCTTGGCGTTTCCTGTGTCACTGTTTGCATCTCGCTGATTACTTATAAGTGAGAAAGATTAAAAATGTGGTTTGAATTATTTTGGTGTCAAACAATATTCTAGAAAGAAATGTTCAACTAAAAAGTTTTAAATAAATAAACTAAAAATTGAAAGGAGGGAGAAAGGGGAAAAGGGGATGGGGGCGTGGAGAGGAAACTTCGGGGTCTGTGCAAGCAGCGGTGTGTGGGAATCCTGTTTCCTGCCTGGGTTCTGATTTGCGAGGGAGAGTTCCGGGTCTGCGGGCGCTGAGAACACCACCCACCCCACGTAGCAGGGAGGGGACAAGATGGGCTCTGGAGAGGTGGGCAGGAGTGGGAGGAGTTTTCAATTCCTTGAACTCCATAATCCGGATTCCGGTATCCGAGCCTGAGCTTTTTCTTTCTCCCCCACCTACCAGCTCCCCACCCCACCCTTCTCCAACACACGCGCGCAATTTTCCTAAGAACTAGGAGCTAAGAAGGAAGAGGAGCAAGCAGGAGTCGATTGTCTTTCCCGCTCCTCCGCACACCAGCCCCTTTTCTTCACACCCACCCACCGGGTGCCGGGTCTTCCTGAGCCCCCAGGGTAAAGAGCGCCCTCACACGGGCTGCACCTTTAGCACAGGTTTGTCCGCCCTCCCCAGTCCGGGGCCCGGGCCCTGTGGCAAGGACACCCCGTTCTTCATCTGTAAAACTCCTCGCTGCATTGTCGTGGGACCTCTGTCCTTACGGCACGGAAGGAGCTCCGAACAGCGCCAGGCACCTTATCCGTGCCTGCCTCCTCTGGCGAATATAAGCGAGGGGACCGTGCGCTCCAGCCGCGCCTGGAGGGTAGCTGCCATGCGCCAGGGACCCTGCAGCGGGGCTCCCAAGCCGCTCCTCGCCCCTGCCGGACTGCTGCCAGAACCTGGGGGGGACTCTGGCCTGACTCCGTCCTCGTGACAAGATAGCGGATGACACGAAGCGGCCCGTGGCGGCCGCTGTGCAACCCTAGGTGGCTGCGGAGACATCCCCATTTTTCAGACGAGGAAACAGGCTTCACTCCAGTGCCAGCACTCTTGGACTCAGAGGCTCAGGGTTCCGAGCCGCCTGCCCCCCACCACAGTATTTCTTTGGGGCCCTCCTGGCCCCAGGCGGAAAGTCTGGGGACAAAGGACCAGGAAAGTTCTCGATGCTGAGTCTCACCCCTCTCTCAGGCTCCCAGCCCCCGCGTGTGGGTGTAAGGGGTGCCTCCCCACGACGTCCGGCGGGGCCAAGCTGGTACGCGGTTAGGGGACAGGGGGGCGGCGGTACCAGGGCTCTCTGATCATAGGCTGACAGGAGCCACCGCGCGGGTCCCCAGCCACTGCCCCCTCGGTGTCCAGGGCGTTGCCCTGCCCTTTGACCCCTGGGATGCTGATTAACGAGGCAGCCAATAGGTGAGTGGGCGGAACCACGCCTCCCCGAAGGCCCCAGAACACAGCTGGGAGCACAGCTCCCTGGATGGCCATGGAGCGTCCTGTGAGAGTGAGGACTTGGGTGGCGGAGAACCGGGCCTCCTTCCTGCCCCCGGTCTGCAACAAGCTCCTGTGAGTCCCCCCGCACGCCTCCCTCCTCCTGTCCCCTGTCCTCACCTCCTCTTCTCCGTCTGCACCCCTCAGCCCTCACCCTCCAGCTCCGAGTTCCTTGACCCAGAAGCCAGGGGCTGTCATCAAGATGTCTTCAGAGAAGTAGGGTGGGCAATTCCGGGTTCCACCGCCCTTGTTTTGTTCCTCTTTCTGGCAACTCAGGCATGGAGGCTGTGACCTTGACTTCTGAGGCTGCCTGGGTGAACTGAGGCTAGGAGAGATGAGAATGGCCGGTGGCAGCCCTGCCCATCACGCCCAAGGCTGAGAAACTTGGCTCTCCAACCCCCAGGGACTCTCAGAAATTTGGCCCCAGAATTGCAGTAGAACTTATGACTAGGGATAGCCTAATCATGCACCCCGACTCTGTCTAGAAAGCCACCACAGGCTTGTCATGATTTATTGCTTTTCCTCTTCTCCTCCCCGCTGGCAGGCACATGCACACTCACACTCACGGATGCACATATTCTGTCTGTCTGCCTGTCTCTCTCTCTCTCTCTCTGGCTCTCTCCCAGCAGACCTGGCTGGTCCAGCCAGTGTTTTCCCAGCAGACTTCTCAGGCCCTCCCAGTCACCTCCCTGCACTCCCCTGGGCTCCCTCCTCCAGGGTCACAATCCCATGTTAGTCATTTCCACAGAACATCTCCAACAAGGTGGCCCCTCGAAGCACACAGTTACAGTCCCTCATACTTTGACAAGCCAGAGACTGAGCCTTGTGCTCTTGCATCTTCTCACTTAATTCTCACAGTAGCCCCAGGAGGTAGGATTTTAATAAGTAACTTTCCCAGTGTCTCGGAGTTAGGGTGGGACAAGGTCCTCACTCAAGCCCATGGACGGGTTTCACTCCAAAGCCCACACTCTCGGTCGCTGCGCGCCACCACCAGGGCTAACAGGCAGCTTCCACCCAAAGCCCTCACCTCTTTCCCCACCTCTACCCTGTCCACAGCCTCATTCTCAGCCCTCTGGTTTCTCCTCTGATGGTGTCTCATACCCGCCTGCTCCTCTTCAGCCCCAGGGCCACTCTCTGGTTCCACCCTTGTCACCTCCAGCCTGGGGAGTGGGAGTCGCCCCACCTCCAGGCCCACCCACCCAGCCCTCCAGCGCTTCCCCAGTATCAGTAATCACAAAGTGCAGGCCCTCCCCTCAGTCACTCAGCAGGTGTTCACCGAGCACCTGCTACAAATACATGCCAGGCACTGTCAGGACACTAGCGATCCAGCAGGAAACCAATTGACAGAAAAGCCCCTTCCTCAGGGACTGACTTTCCAGTGGGAGGGGCAGCCAGTAAATAAAGACAAACGGGGTGGAGGGCCAGGCAGACCTGCGGGGCACAGGCCACGGTAGGGCTGTGGCTTCATCCCCTGTGTTGGCAAGGACTGTGAGGGAGACTCTGCTCCAGGCCTGTTTCTGCTCCTGGTGTTTTAGTGGCGATCTTTGCTTTCCTTGGCTTCTGCGGCATCACCCCCATCTCTGCCTCACTTTACATGGTGCTGTCCTGTATGCCTGTGCCTAAATCTCCCTTTTTAAATAAAGATTTTATGTATTTTTAGAAAGGGGGGAAGGGAGGGAGAGAGGGAGAAACATCAATGTGGTGTTGCTTCATGAGCGCCCCCTATCTGGGACCTGGCCCGCAACCCAGGCATGTGCCCTGGCTGGGAATTGAACCCGAGACCCTTTTGTTCACAGGCCAGCACTCAATCCATTCAGCCAAACTAGCCAGGGAAAAAGCTCCCTTTTTATAAGGACTCCAGTCATATTGGATTAGATGTCCACCCTACTCCAGTCAGACCTCATGATAGCTTAACTGAGTGCATCAGCAATGACCCTGTTCCCAAATCAGGTCACATTCTGAGGTACTGGGGGTTAGAACTCCAGTGTGGGAGTTTGAATTCATCCCTATGAATTTGGAAAGGTGGCAAGGTTGGGGGGGCACATATGAAGCTGCTGGAAGGTTTTGAGCAGAGGAAGGTCATGATCTGACTGATGCACTCTGATGGATGGGTTGAAATATTTCTTGAGTGAGCTTATTCAAGAACTTTCCACATGTAGCTAGATCATTGATTTTCAACTGCTGTGCCACAAGAATTTTTACAACGTGCAACACCTGGCTGTTTAGTCAGGGGCACTGACCTCTTTTCCCTTAGACTGTCAAATTTAAAAAACAACAACAAGCCCTAGCTGGCATAGCTCAGTGGATTGAGTGCGGGCTGTGAATCAAAGTGTTGCAGGTTCGATTCCCAGTCAGGGTACATACCTGGGTTGCAGGCCATGACCCCCAGCAACTGCACATTGATGTTTCTCTATCTCCCTCCCTTCCCTCTCTAAAAATAAATAAGTAAAATTTAAAAAAAAACCCACACAACAATAGCTGTCTGGTGTGAATGAATCAAAATTACCCCTGTTTTTTGTCATATCAGCAAAAAATACCATGTACTTTTCATGCGCTGCAGAATTTTAGTGATTACTTTATGTGCACGAGATGAAAAGGGTTGAAAGTCGCCAGGATAGATTAGATCTCAGTAATGATTACTGAAAAAGAAAAACATCTTCCTAGGCTCTCAGGCACCCCATAGGCCAGGACCAAACTCCTTGGCCAAACTGTCAAGACTGGGGGTGACTTGACAGTTCAGGATGGGGGCGACCCCATCCTGACCCAGCCTTTCTCCATCGCTCCCCAAGACACTCCCACACCACCAGGACCCCCAGTGCTTCTGGCCTCAGGGCCTCTGCACTAGTTTCCCCTCCACTTCTTAAAGCAGGCGCCTCCCAGCTATAGCCCAGCAGTTTGCGGGGAACAGAGAGTCTCAGAATCAGACAGCTCTGTAGGGAGCGGGAGGTAGACAAAAGTCATTTTACCTCTACAGAAAGCAGGGCCTCCAGCTCACCCTCCTGTGTTTGGAGATCTTGAGTGCAGCCCAGGGATCCTGACCGATGAAGAGAGACATTCACCTACTACTGGGTCAGAGCATGTGGGCGACACACACAGAGGAACTGGACAAACACACACACGCATCCACCAAGACACAGATGCAGAAAGACACAGGCATGCATACAGTCTCAGACACACGCAGGCTCTTGGACGTGCACGGGCACCCTGGGATGAGAGTGGAGGGGACAAACTTCAAAAACTGACGGGGCAGGATGCAGAAACTGCCCTGTTGCCTCTCCCAGGTGTGCCCAGGCTCCCTCCAAGCCCCCCACAGGCTGCTGATGTTTTCTCCCATGAGCTGGTTCAGCACCTCTCCCCTTTCCTCCATTGTAGGCATAAGGAGCAGCTCAAAGTCATGTTCATCGGGGGCCCCAACATCAGAAAGGACTACCACATCGAGGAGGGCGAGGAGGTAGGCATGTGGACTGCCCCTCCCCTGACGCAGCCCTGGGGCAGGGGGACGCTCCCCAGCCAAGACCAGAGCCTGTAGACAGGAGACATGGCTGATGGGTGAAGGGCGCTCAACCGAGGTCACAGGCAGCAGTGTTGCCTGCGTGGTGTGGGCACCCAGTGGCACCTTTGACAGCTCCATCCTGAGAAACAGCCCGGCCTCTGCGAGCAGGACAGGCTCTGGCTGTTAGCGTCATCCCTGGACACAGGTGCTGTCCTTGCTCCAGGCAGGAGGCCCTGGCCCCCTCCCCCCAAACCCGAACATGCAAGATTGGCTTCCAAAGGGAGACCCAAACACTGAGAGGGACCTGGGTGCTCCACTCTGGTCCCAGGAGCCGAGTTCTCTGAGAAGGACTGGGGCTGGAAGGCCCCTCTGTATCTAGAGGGTACAAGACACATAAGCTGCTAGTAGCTCCTGGGGGATGGGAGGACAGTGAGCCAGTGGGAGGGCGTATTTGCAATTTTCATTGAACACCCTTTTGAACCTTGAATTTTGGTCTGTATTTCTGTGCTACCTCCCCCAAAGTAAATAACCAAGAGTAAAATAAAGAAAAAAAGATGGGCCCTGTTAAGAAGAGACACAGATGGGTTCCCAGCTATCAGAATCTGGTGACAAAGGATTGGTATGGTCCCCTTGCCTCTCATCCCGGGGGCCTGGCCCTGGGGTTCAAGGTCCAGAGTCCAGTTTAGTCACCAGCCTGTACCCGAACTGCTGGCAGCTCAGCCACAGCTGGGGACTGGGCACACCTGAGAATCGCTCACTTCACAGATATTTACTGAGCACCTACTATATGGGGGCAGTGGGGCTGAGAATCCAGGGCCAGCAGGGAGCAGCAGCCTCCACAGGGCAGAGCTGAGCCGGCCAGCCCCTCACCTCTCACACTTCCCCGGGCCCACACCTCTCTGGCCACCCCCTCTTATACCACACCCCCTGGAGACCACTTTCCTTTGAAGAAAAAAACAGCAGAGAAATCCAAAACTGCAGGGAAAAGGCAGGATTGGGTTGGGAGCTGCCATGATGGGGGGGCGAGGCCAGCTGCAGGGTCTCCCCTGCCCACCTCGGTCAGACTCGGACGCCCGCATCATGTCTTCCAGAGGCTCCCACTCGGTTAGCCCTGGGCTCAGTGCCCACCCCTCTGTCTCCTTCCCTTCTTGTACCCTCCCACCTCTTCACCGCCCCCACCTCGGTGTCCCCCCAAGCTACTCTGATGGATGGCTGTCCACTTAGGGACCCAGGCCAAGCCCTGACTTAGCTGGGTGGCTGACAGATAAGGAGGACTGGCCCGAGCAGCTGTCCCCATGCAGGTGGCCTGGGAGAATTTGGCTAGAGGTGGGTTCGTGAAGGCTTGGTCCCAACCTGAGGCAGAGGAGAGTTCTGGGCAAAGGCCCTGGGAGAGTCAGCATCCTCTGTGTTCCTGCCTGTCCTCACCCAGGGAAGCCTCACCCAGGGACTGCAGGCCGAGCTGCAGGAGCCACCCAGCCCCAAGGCTCAGACTCCTCCTCCTCTGGTGAGAGAACGGGGTCACTGAGCCAAACTTTCCCCTCGCTGTGCTCAGGCCTCAGCCACAGCCCTTTGGGTGCCACGGCTCACCTGCCACACATGCTCCACTTACCCCAGTCCTTCCCTTAGAAGCACAGGTGTGAGGAGGCCCCAGCTGCGCATGTGCCAAGCTGGGAGCGAGTCTGATTCCCCCTAACCATGTGATCTTGGACAGGTCACATTGTGTCACCTCTCTGTTTCCTTAGGGCACATGGGGATACTGCCCCTGCCTGGCAGAGGGGTTCGATGTACGCACAGTACATGCACAGAGCCCGGGGCAGAGGAGGTACTTAATATGCATTGGTTCTCCGCACCCCCTGGCCCCTCCCCTGCCTGTTCTGCCTGTAAGGCCTTTCCAGGCACCAGAGCTCCAATTCAATTTAGTATCTGCCCACAGGGACAGTTAATCTTCTAGCCAGCACCAGGCCCCCAACATTATTTACTTCCAAATTGAGCATAATTCCTTTTGGATTGCCCAAGGCTGTTTGTGATCTGCTGTTCTGGATCTGCACCTCTGCTCCCGGCCAGGCCTGTCCCTCATCACAAGGAAGGCTGCTGGACTGAGAGACAGGACAGAATTCCACTTCCCTGCTATGGTTTCGTTTGATGGCTACTAACACCTTTTACCTGCCTGCACAGGGTGTGAATCTGACCCAGACCCCACTCCAGCCCCTACCTCACCCCAGCTCTCCCTGATATTTGCAGGGCCCGAGGGCTATAGCCGCTCCCTAGGCTCGCTGGGCTCTTCCTTTCGCTCCCCCTACCGTGAGAGAACCGCAACCCCATCCCCACAGGTGCTTCCTCCCGGCTGGTCCGTGGATGGGGTGGTGCTGCAGAATTTCTCCCTAAGAGAGCCTGGGAGGTTTGTTTGTTTGTTTGTTTTTTAATTGTTTTAAATAACTTGCATGGGTTATTTCTAATAATAAAAGTAAATATTGTTTATTGTAAAAAATGTGAAATACAGAAAAACAAATGTATACCTCATTTGTAATCCCACCACTCGGGGAATCCGACCACCGTGGACACCGCTTGGATTTACACATGCTTGGTTACCTAATTGGGATCCTGCTGGGTGCAATTCTGGCTCTTACTTTAACGTGATAGTGATAACTTTAGCATTTTCCACTTTGCCACCTTATTAACAGTTATTCAAACATAGTTTTTAATGGTTGCACAATGTGCTGTGTTTTGACTCAATCCTAAAACAGTGACCTTTCCCCTATTATTACTATTAGCACTATTTTCTTCCTCCCGCCATCACTGATACATTGTGAGCAGCACCCCAGGCAGACCTCACAGCACCTTTCTGAGTAGATGCTGTCATTTTATGGATGAGGGAACAGAGGCATGGAAAGGCCGACAGAACTGACCCAGGGCGCACGGTGACCCGGCTGAGCTGAGGGCCATGTGACGCTGGCGTCTGTGCTTTTAACCACCGTGTGCGGTGACGACACAGCCTTGCATGTACGACGTGCGCCAGGTGCATTCCTGACTCACTGCAGCACCTGCCTGGAGAGGGCATCGCTGGCTCAAGAGCATGAGGTGGCCACTGTCCCGGTTCATCCTGGATGTTGTTGGTGTCAGCACTGAAGGTCCTACATCCAAAGAAGCCCCTCTGGCCAGCCTGCAGGGCTGTGGGCTGTGGAGGCTCTTCCTGCCTGTTGCCCAGTGTCCTCCACAGGGGTTGTGTGGGCGTGCCCCTCACGGCAGACCGTAGGGCCACATTCCTCTAGTTTCCCTGAGTTCAGCTTGATTTCTCTTAGTAGATGCTGGGACAAGGACCTCTGCCACTCGTAACTCCTTACATGATAATAATCATTATTATTAATAACACCCCTTCAACTACGTGGCTGGGGCGTTTAACACCCGTGCAATGTATGGCTGGTGGGGAGAAAATGCATCTGCCTCCCCCTCTCAGCTCCAAGGGGTGATCTCAGCCAACATGTTTATTATATACTTAGGATGGAATAGGGGAAATGCAGTAGGAGCCCCCCACCCCACCCTGGGGAGCTAGCAGAAGGAGAGACCTCCGGTCCCCCACGACCCCAACCCAGCCCAGCTTCCAGCAGGGCGCCCACCCTTTACATGGCGGCCTCCTGAGGGACCTGGACAGGCGCGGCCTCCTGCCCCCAAGCCACACACCGACTGTCGTGTCCTGGGTACTTTGGTCATCGCTTGCATGTAGAGATGTGATCCTTGTGTGTCACTGGCACTTCTGTCTGTGGCACACGTCAGGGGAGCCTCGGGGCAGGAGTGACAGAGCTGATCATAAACTCTGAGGGCCTCAGGAACATTCTCTGGTTTCCTTGTCAGAAATCAGGCCAAGGACCTAGAAGCAGTGAGGGAGGGGTCTGAACACCTGTCTGCTGTCTGGTCCCACAGGTGTTTTACCAGCTGGAGGGCGACATGGTTCTCCAAGTCCTGGAGCAAGGGAAACACCGGGATGTGGTCATTCGGCAGGGAGAGGTGAGGTGGGCCCCAGCAGGTGGGAGGTGAAGGGCCACCAGAACAGGAACTGACCCAGACCACTCATCCTGGCTTAGGTCAAGATCTTGTCCTCCCGCCTTTTTCTGCCCTCCTGCCACCTGCCCACCTGCCCCAACCCCATCCTCAGGCACTCCCTCCTCTGGGCTGCCCCATCCTCAGCACAACCCGACATTTTCTCCGGCTCTCTGGTGGAGGCTGGGCAGAGAGGTGGGCTGGGCTGGACCCTCTGGGTCAGCTGGGAGGCCAGGACACTGTAGGCACTGAGGTCTCCTTGGGGGGTCGAAGTCTTGCTGACACCTTGTCCCCCCACTGCAGATATTCCTCCTGCCCGCTAGGATCCCCCACTCTCCGCAGAGGTTTGCCAACACTGTGGGTCTGGTGATTGAGCGGAGGCGGCTGAAAACCGAGCTAGATGGGCTCAGGTAAGTGGGAGAGTGGGGCAGAGACAGGGGTGGGGGATGGGGTGGGTGAGGTAGGCAAGCAATCAAGGAAGCCATCTGAGATAGACCCAAGAAAGCATTTCCTGGCCACTGAGCAAGAATGGGGAGGCCATGGAGACCCTGTATTTGTCGGCTGATGGGGAGAGGTTAGGGTGGGCGGTGCGATGGGTTTGATGATGGAGGTGGTAGGATGTTCTCGGTGACCCTCTGGTTGCCCGTTCAGCCTGCAGACCTCGGGCTGGGACCAGAGCCTGTGCTTTCTGCACTGAGGTCTGCAGAGGGGTTGGGAAGGGTGTGGACGCTGAAGGCGGACCCAGCTGACCCAGGCCAGCCGCAACACCTCCGCTCCTCCAGCCTCCGCCCCCGGGTGTATTCAGTCTCCGCCAGGGTGCTCCTGCCCTGGCTTGCTTCCCTGCTCCACTCATTCCACAGCCAGCGCTGGCGTTTGAACTGCACTTGCTCGGGCCCGGCACCAGCCCGAGCGCGTTATGTGCACTTGAATGCAGTTAATCCTCACGGTGACCCTGTGGGGCCGGTACCTTTGTCATCTGTACTTTACAGGTGAAGAGACTGGGTGCGGGCAAGTCGAATTTGCCAGAAAATGGCCGAGCTGGCAGGACACGAACAGAGGAAAGGCCAGGACAGGCGGGATGGGAGCGGGAGTCACCCCCAGAGAGGGGCCGAGCGCCCCCAGCAGGGCGATGTTTCCAGAGCTGACTTCCGGTTTGGTTCCCATCAGTCACCCAGTTATTATCTTCCGAAAGCGGGGCGCCGCCTGTGGCTCAGGGGAACATAGATTTTTACAAAAGCTAAACTACTTTTCGTATGTTTTACTAAGAAAATTAAAAATTCCCAACAAGTTACTGACAGCTGTTATAGCAAACATTTTTTTAATGCTTTCCTTTTTTCTAATTATCAAAGTCATACACATTCATTCTTGAAATCTGGAAAACTACAAGAAGGCATGAACAAAATTAAAAATTACCTGTCAGGAGAAGGGTGAATGTTAGGGTATGTGAATGTTATCTCAAAAAGAAAATTCAAAACACACACACAAAAAATCCAAAACCCAAAACAAACCAACCAACTCCCCACCACAAACAGTAATAAAGAGAAAAGAAAAACAATTGTCATCCCACCAGTTAAATCTAACAAAGCGCATAAGCTTCCATGTTGTTTTTCTTGTGTGTATCTGCACCTTCTGACATTACAGCCTTAATTCAAGCCTGGGTTTGAGTTTTGCCTTTTTTTACATAAAGAAAATCTGTATTTCTTATAATATTAAATTCCTTTTTAAAAGCACCATGTTAATGTCTGCCCGCTAGTCTGCTGTGTAATAGTCTGTCGTAAAAGCAGATGCCTGGCCTCAAACTCTAAAAGAAAACCTTCCCGTGGGGCTTTATCTGGGGAGTCTCTAGTGATGGGGAGGACGGTTTCCTCAATAACATTTTTATAGCAAATTCAATAACAGATTTCATTTGGCTGCTCTGACCTTTAATAAAAGCCAGGGACTCAACATTAAAATTCCACTCTGAAGACAATTTCTAGAGGACATCACGGCCCAGTTAGGAAGCTCTGTGGCGCCCAGCGCCCAGGGTAAAACTGAGGTGCTGGTGGGGTGAGGCATTGTGCCTGTTAGCGGGACTCCTTCTCTTTCTGGGGAGCAGTTGGAGGACAGGCAGAGCTGCCCGGGCCCTGGGGGCTGAGACTGGGGACTCGGCATTCGGTGACAGATGTGCTGCACACACAGGGGCGGAGGGACAGCCCTGGTCTGCCAGGTGCTCCTTCCGCCCGCTCCCCAAGCCAGGCGGGGGGCTTGGATGGGCCTCCAGTACCTGTAGTACTAGAGGCTATGTGTACGTGCATACGGACCTTCCTCCCGAGAAGAAGCCCAGGGCTTTGCTTCAGTCCTCGAAGGCCTCCATGGCCCTGAAAGGAAAGGCTCTCTCATCTAGGGGGCATCTTCCACATGTTGGTTCCTGAGGGTTCCATGTGCTCTGACCTAGAGTGCCAGTAGGCAGATGGAACAACCAGCCACAGGCCCTGCATTCAGGGTCAGCTTCAGCTCCGTTTCAGAAAAGCAAAGATACTTGCCACGATGCTCTCTACGCTTATAAGATGGTTTCTAGCCTATCCTGCTTTTGCCACTTACAGGCCGTAATCCCTGCCAAACTGCCCAGCTTCTCTGAGCCTCAGAGTCCTATCCACTTTGAAAATCATCAACCTTCAGGAACCAGGAAAAGCATGCAAATGGGGTGGTTAATCATCCTCTCACTTTGGGGGTGCACATTGCTTCTGGGAGAGCCAGGCATGGCCACTAGGTTGCGTGCTAACAGGGCAAAGCTAGCAACCGGCTCTGCAGGACCTGCAGCGCCTGCAGCCAGGCCCAGAGATCAACAGGCAGAGCTGGGTGGGAGGGAGGCTTCCCTGAGGCTGCCCAGATGGGGCGCTGTTTACCCATCCTTCACTCGGGCAGGTACTACATGGGAGACACCACAGATGTCCTGTTTGAGAAGTGGTTCTACTGCGAGGACCTCGGCACACAGCTGGCCCCCATCATTCAGGAGTGAGACCCACCCCAGCCCCGCCCATCATTCTCCTGAGGCCCCAGGCTCTGGCTGGGCAGCTGATGCCCCTGAGAAGTGCTCCCACAGCCCTGGGATTTAGGGAGAAAGATGACCTCTCCCAGGGTGGGAAGCCCAAGCTGGAAACCCCCTTGGGGAGGGAAGGAGGCTGCTCCACAGGTCTGGGAGTGAGCAGATGGCAGATATGAGTCGTATAAGGACCCCACGAGTATGTGTGGCCTCCAACACCCCAGAGCATTTGTGTGTCTGCTTCACTGACCTCTCAGTCTGGAATGCTGGCCGCTCCTCCCCTTCCTCACATGTCCCTGCAGGTTCTTCAGCTCTGAGCAGCACAGAACAGGAAAGCCCAACCCTGGTAAGGCCACCAGAACCGCCTTTCTCCTTCCTTCCCTCCCTCCTTTCCCAGGGTAGAATGGGTCTTGGCCTAGGGTACTAGGGAGTCCCTTTTTGAGTACTCTGCCCAGTACTCAAGGTATGGGAAGATGGCACCAAATAGTACCCCCATATGGCTGCTGGGTCCTTGGCCTTGGTCCAGAGCCCATTCCTGCAACTGAGAGCTGGGTCCCCTGGGAACCGGGTCTGCTGGGACTGGGAGGGCTGGACCAGAGGACACTGACCACAGCTGGACCATGGGTGCAGACCAGCTGCTCAAGGAAACGCCGTTCCCGCTGAGCACACGATCCGTCACGGAGCCTATGCCCCTGGAGGCCTGGTTGGATAGCCACCGCAGGGAGCTACAGGGGGGCACACCCCTCAGTCTCTTTGGGGACACCTATGAGACTCAGGTAATGTAGCCCTGGGCGTCCACCCAGCAGCTCTAGGAAACGGGAACTACACACACACACACACACACACACACACACACACACGCAACTTCGGAAGTTGTAGACATAGGCAGAGGTCTTCCTTTTTTTTTCTGACTCAGAAAACAAAAGCTTTACTGTGGGTGGTCCTGAGAAATCTTCCTTTGCCTTCAGAGTAGGGAGCTGTCGCATCCAATGATAGGTTTCTAGGACCTGGGGTCATCCTCCTGCTAGGGATTCCTGAGCCTTTGCCCAGGCACAGCCTTGGGAGTTGGAAGGGAGAGAGGTGTTTGGGGGTGAGGGTCAGGTGGAAAGGTATACAGAGACCCAAACGAAGCTGGCTTTCTTTTATTCAACACTTACTAAGTGTCTACTGTGTTTCAGGGAAAGGGAGATAGAATCGCTGCCGCAGAGAGTGTATAGTCTGGTAAATGGGCAAGTTAATCACTAATCACCACAATTGTGATACAATATATTGGGTAGAGAAGCTTTAGGAAGCCACAGGAGGATAAAAGAGGAACCTGCACTGGGAGGGAGGTCAGGAAAGGCTTCCTGGAGGATGTGATGTATAAGCTACATTTTAAAGTGAATGTAGGCATTTAGAAAAGAAAGGGAGGTAGTGAAAGCATTCTGGGGAAGGGAGAAGCATGAGCAAAGGCCTGAAAGCTTAGAACAGGCTGGCCCTGTAAGGTAAGCGGGGGGCGCGGCTGGTGAAGCGCGGGAGTAGGGGCAGCCTGAGCAGCAGGCAGTGCCCAAGCCTTGGAGGGTCTCCTGAGGCAGGCAACATTCAAGGACTTATCCTGGAGACAGCAGAGCTTCACCCAAATATTGAAGCAGGGGGATGATGAGGCCGGATGGGAGGGCAAGTGTGGGGGCAGGGAGACCTGCTGGGAGGCTCATACTTGCTTGTGCTTTACAGTGTGCAAATGGCATGTCCTTGCCGTGTGAATCACATAGCCCCGTGGAGGGTCGCTCACTGAGTGCAGACTCTGAAAGCAGGTGCACACGGCAAAGTCCCTGCCACCTGTCATGACAACGTCATTCAGCGCCACGCTGGCCTCAGGGCCTTGCCTTCCACCTCTTTCTCACCCCTACTCCCACCTGCTTCAGTTTATGCCAACAAATACCCACCTAGTGCACCCTGGGCCAGCAGGAGTGCGGCCTGCATGGTTGCTGCAGGCTTCCAGGCCTCTTGCTCTGGTTCATCCCTTCCCATCACCCTCCTGCTCCTTAGGCCAAAATTTCACAGTCAGGGAGGTGGGCCTGGCACCCTTCAAAGGGCACCCTTTGAGGAGCTATGTGTATGCGCTACGTGAGTCTGTGCTATGCCATGCACACGTGCAAGTGCCCCTAGGTATGCCTTCCTGTGGGTCAGCGATAGCTGTGGCATGCCACAGAGGGACCAGGTGTGTGTGTGTGTGTGTGCGTGTGTGTGTAGAGGGCTGGTGTGTGTGATCCCGAATGGCCGGTGGGCAGCACCCACTGTGATGGAGGCAGCAGGGAGGCCTGCAGCCTGGGCAGCCTCTGCATCACAAAGGGAGATGTGGCTGCAATGCACGCCCCGCCCCTGCCCCGCCCCTGCCCCACACTGGTCTGGTGTCTGGGGGCCAGGTTTAAGGCCATCTCCTTTTGGGGGCAGGAAGCACCAGAAAGATCTGTGTCATTTCCTCCCAGGTGATCGTCTATGGACAAGGCAGCAGCAAAAGCCCGAGACAGGATGTGGACGTGTGGCTCTGGCAGCTGGCAAGTGGGGTCTGTAGGAGAGGGTGGCACAACCTCCTGCCCTTGGGGACCAGGCTGCTCCCGGGCCTGGCGCCCCACACTCCAGATCGGCTCCCAGGGCCTCCTGCCAAGGCTGACTCAGGACTCTCGGTCAGGCACTGAGGCTTGATAGACCCCCTTCAGTTCTCCTGCTCTTCTCCTCCAGGAGGGCTCCTCCACGGTGACCGTGGGGGGACAGCACCTGAGCCTGACCCCTGATGAAAGCCTCCTGGTGCCCAGCGGGACTGAGTGAGTCCAGGAGGAGGACTTGCCCTCGGCTGTGGGACTGTTCTCCTCTCCCTGGAATCCTTAGGGCCCGGCCTTGCCTGACCCCTGCCCGCCTGTGTCTCTACAGGTATGCCTGGGAGCGAGGGCAAGGCTCCGTGGCCCTGGCTGTGACCCAGGACCCTGCCCGCAAGAAGCCCCTGGGGTAATTCTCTCAAGCAGCCACAGCGCCACCCCTGCCGAACAGCTACTTTCCCAGCCCCCGCTCCTTCCAGGTGCACTGCTGCTCAGTGACTCCGCGCCCCTGCCAGGCCCTGGACGTCCTCGTTGTCACCCATTCTCCTCCCATCCCCTGGCGCCAGGCTCCTGTGGGGCCAGTCACTCCCTCCTGTCCCCACAGGCTCAGTCCAGCACTTGTCTGCCCCCAAGAAGGCCCTCAATAAAGGCTTCCTGGTGGACAGGCGCCTGTGGTTCTACAAGGACACAGGCTGTGGTTGACGGCTGACCCCATTATCTGGGCGTGGGGAGGGTCCACTGGGGCTGTCCCTGCGTGCAGAGGGGCCATCGTCACTGGGCATGTGGCCCGACCCACACAGGCATTGTCGTCCTGGGGGCACAGCTGGCCTCGTCTCCCTGCCTCTTTCCCATATATTCTTTTTACATAATTTTAAAAAATAGCATCTGTTTGGTGTTTTCCCCCAACAGCAGGGGTGATTTCCGCCGATAGGATCAGTGGGGGGCACAGAAATACCTAAAGCCTCCGCAGCCCCCACTCAGAGTTCAGCCGTGTTAACACATGAAGGCCGTGAGGGGCCCTGAGGGGGCTCAAAGCTGTGTGAGGAGGCTGGCCATGGGGAGGGGTGTCTGGCTGCCCGCCCCATGCTCGCCCTGCTGGGTGAGGCATCCCACACTCACACTCAGAGGGCTCCTGGGCAAGGTCTGGGACCCGAGTGCCGGGAGCCCCAGAAGCAGCAGTGGGTGGAAATGAGACATGAAAGCTGTAGTGGGGGATCTGCGCTCAGGATCCTGGGACTTCACTGAGCAGGTGATGAGGGGCAAGCAGGGGCAGCTGCAGCTGGATGCAGACAGAACAGGTTCCTGGTTACAGTCAACATTTCCTCTGGAAAGCTTCAGTTCTGAGCCCTGCCTTCTCCACCGTGGCCCAGCGGCTCACTGCTTTGATCCGCTCCACTGAAGAGCAGAGCGGAGCCGGACTTTGCAGAAGAGGCTTCTGGCCCTGGGGGATGTCTGCTTCACACACCTGTCTCCCGCTAAGGGCTCTCCTCTCCTGAATGCAAAGAAAAAACACCTTCAGCCTCCCCCAAACTTGCAAACAGTCCAAGGCAGTGAGGGAGAGGCCTGGTGTGTGCTGGGGACTGCAGCCATGTGTGGCTCCGTGTGGAATCTGAGACAACGTGGCAATGTCCCAGGGAGGCCTTCAGCAGAGTTGAGGTGGCCACGAGAAGAAGCAGTTTGTCCCTAGTGCCTAGCCCAAGACAGAAAATAATAACAATTAGATCTTCTATTTCTCTGAAACACTCGTTCTGTGCCAGGGAATTCCCTAGAAGTTGTTGCATACATTATCTCATTTAATCCTTACCACTCGCTAGCAAGGGAGTAGCTCCCCACTTTAAAGATGAGGCTCAGAGAGGTTTAGAAAGCAGGCAGCTCCGTGTGCAACTGAGGCCTGTCTGCATTCAAAGCTCAGGCTAGGGGTCTCACCACCCTGCACCCTGTAGTTGCAGCCTGTCTGCCCTCAGCTTTGGCCAGACAGGGGCCCAGGGCAGGGGCATCTGAGGGAGAGGAGTCAGTGGAATACTGTGCCTGAAACCCAGAGACAGAGCTGGCAGCACACGGCACACCACAGTCCGCTGGCAAGGGTGGGTGTCGGGTCCTGGAACTATAGCCTTCCTTTGTGCTGTCCCAGGTCATCGGGAACTGCAGGCCCTCGTCTCTGCCCTCAGGCGGGGCCACAAGGCTGCATGAGAACACCACGCAGCGGGAGAGCAGGACTTGTACGTGGTCCGAAGCTAGCCTCAGCCTCCCACTCCCCTCTCTTCAGTGAATGCTAGGTGGAGGAGGAGTGTGGTAGATAGTGGACACGGAAATTGCAGGATTCTCAGCATTGTTCCATTCCAGGGAGAAGCCCCCAGGTCCCCAGATCATGGCAGTAGAAATCGGCAAGGGAGCCCTCTCTCTGTGGGATATATTTCATCATGTACATGGACTTGAGACCATCACAGACTTTGGAACCATCAGGAGTCTGAGCGTAACTATAGCAGCCAGCAGAGCACAAAGAGGCTGACCCCACAGGCCATGCGCACAGTCGGGCGTAGACTCACCTCCTTCTCCCAGAACACAGTCCTGCTGGACCCCAGTCCCTGCTGCCGCAGCAGGTGGGGGCAGGGAGGCAGCTGCCCAGCCTGTACACACGATGGAGGGCCGGGGTTGGCCAGGGTGGCAGGGTGAGGCCGAGAGCTGTGGGTTGCCAGGACCAGCTTCCTTCTTCAGCAAGATGTCTGATCACTCAGAGCTGCACACACTCTGCCCCAGCTCACCCCAGGAGGGCCCTCCTCCTGCTTCAGGGTCTCTCTGGGCCTCCACCTCACCCCTGCTGGGCCCTGCTTCCTCCTCTTTCCCCAGGAAACACAGATGGTCCCTTCCAGTGTGGGATCAGAGACCTGGGGGAGGGGTCATCGCCCAGTGTGGGTAGGGGAGGCTGGCACGGAGGGCAGGCTGCAGGGTTCCCCTTTGCTAGCAAACAGGAACACTGGCTGTTTCTCAGTGGCTTCCAGGGCGCTGAGTCACTGCAGCAGCCAGTGGACAGACAGCACTCACCCCTGAGCACTCTTGCAGCGGGAGAAAGACTGCAAACTTCTCCGGGTCCACGGCCCATGCAGCACATGGAATTTCATAATCAGAGCGCTCCCTCTGCCCTTCCTGCCCTTCCTTCTCTTCCTTCTCTCTCCCCCTCCACTCTCCCTTCCGCCCTTCCTCCCACTCCCTTCTTCACGCTTTTGGCCCTCACCACTACACTGGGGTCACCAGCCTCCTGCGACCCAGCCTCTTCCTCCTGGGTGTCTGCGTTCCTGGCGCCAGTCCTGGGTGTGGAGTTCATCCTGGGCCTGGTGGGGAACGGCTTGGCCTTCTTCATCTTCTGCGTCCACACGCGGCCCTGGTCGTCCAACGTGGTGTTCCTGGTCAGCCTGGTCTTCGCTGACTTTCTCCTGATCATCAACCTACCCCTCCGCATGGACTACTACCTCCACGACGAGACCTGGCCCTTGGGGGACGTCGCCTGCAGGATCAACCTCTTCATGCTGTCCGCCAACCGCACGGCCAGCGTGGTCTTCCTCACGGCCATCGCACTCAACCGCTACCTGAAGGTGGTGCGGCCCCACCACGCACTGAGCCGGGCCTCGGTGCGGGCAGCCGCCTGGGTGGCCGGGGGTCTCTGGGGGAGCATCCTGCTCCTCAATGGGCACCTGTTTGTGATCGCCATTCCCAGAAAGTCCTGCCTCAGTTACCAGCTGGGCATGAACTCCTCGGCCTGGACTCGCTGGCACAGTGCACTGTACTTGCTGGAGTTCTTCCTGCCGCTGGCGCTCATCCTCTTCGCAGTTGTGAGCATCCTGCAGACCATTCGGTGCCGTGGCCTGGGCGGGCGGGCAGGCCCCCGGAGGGCCAAGCGCATGCTGGCCGCCGTGGTGGCGGTCTACACAATCTGCTTCTTGCCCAGCATTGTCTTTGGCATGGCAGCCATCGTGGCCTTCCACCTGAAAGCCTGCCCCGCCCTAAACATCTGCTCACAGCTCTTCCACAGCTCCCTGGCCTTCACCTACCTCAACAGTGTCCTGGACCCCATACTCTACTGCTTCTCCAGCCCCAGCTTCCTCCGCCACTGCCGCACCCTGCTGGGCCTCAGCCAGGGCTCACAGGGCCCAGACAGCGATGAGAACTCCTACCAGCCCCCCAGCCGTCTCCAGGAGGCCTCCAGGAAGGCAGAGACCATAGGGAAGCTGCAGGCGGAGGGCTCACGGGAGGTTTCCCTGGAGTAAGGGAGGCCCCTCCTGGGTCTGGGGTCTGCAGGGCATTCTGGCGTGGAGGGAAGGGTCACTCCTGGACTGTTGTCAGCACAGAGTGCCTCAGCCAACTGCACAGGAGCCAGGTGGGTGGCAGGGAGAGAAAGAGTGTTGGCCTCATGGAGGTGTGGGCCTGGCGTCACCTCCAGAGTGCATGAGAGTCTGATGTTGATAGGCAGGGGCTGTGGGGGCTGCAGCTCAGCTGCCCAGTCCCGCCCGGGTCGTTAATGTGAGAGCAGAAGTCTTGCTTCAGAAATTGGACAGCTGTATGTTCTGGGGTCTCCAGCTCTTCCTTTCAATACTAATAAACTTTCTTGGAAAGTGCAAGCCTATCTTGGCTGTCCTTTCTTTTTAAATTATGTTTTATTGATTATGCTATTAGAGTTGTCCCAATCCCCCCCCCCCCCCAGGCCATCCCCACACCACTGTTCATGTCTATGGGTCATGCATATAAATTCTTTGGCTACACTATTTCCTCAACTGTACTTTACATCCCCATGGCTATTCTGTAACTACCTATTTGTACTTCTTAATCTCCTCACTTCTTTACCCATTCCCATAGAACCCCCTCCCATCTGGCAACCGTAAGAGCACTCTCTGTGTCCATGATTCTGTCTCTGTTCTTCTTTTATTAGTTTGTTTTTTAGATTCAATTGTTGATAGATACATATTTATTGCCATTTTATTTTTTCATAGTTTTGATCCTTTTCTTTTAAAAAATCCCTTTAACATCTCATATAATAATGGTTTGGTGCTGATGAGCTATTTTAGCTTTTTCTTGTCTGGGAAGCTCTTTATCTGCCCTTTGATTCTAAATGATAGCTTTGCTGGGTAGAGCAATCTTGGCCATAGGGCCCTGCTTTTCTCAACTTTGAATATTTCTTGCCAATCCCTCCTAGCCTGCAAAGTTTCTTTTGAGAAAGCAGCTGACAGCCTTATGGGAACTCCCCTGTAGGTAACCACTTTTCTCTTGCTGTTTTTAAGGTTCTCTCTTTATCTTTAACCTTTGGCATTTTAATTATGATGTATCTTGCTGTGGTCCTCTTTACATCTGTCTTATTTGGGATCCTCTGTGCTTCCTGGACTTGTGTGTCTATTGCCTTCACCAAATTAGGGACATTTTCTTAATTATTTTTTTATTTCTTATTGTTCTCATCAGTTGTTTTTTGCTTCCTTATGTTCCAAATCATTGATTTGATTCTCGGCTTCATCCACTCTCCTGTTGTTTCCCTGTCAATTGTTCTTTATTTCAATTAGTGCATCCTTCATTTCTAACTATATCTTTTTTATGCAGTTGAGGTCCTCACTAGGTTCCTTGAGCATCCTTATAACTAGTGTTTTGAGCTCTGCATCTGATAGATTGCTTATCTCCATTTTGTTTAGTTCTTTTCCTGGAGTTTTAATTTGTTCTTTGATTTGGGCCATGTTTCTTTGTTTCATTTTGGCAGCCTCCCTGTGTTTGTTTCTATGTATTGGGTAGAGCTGCTTTGACTCTGTGTCTTGGTAGTGTGGCCTAATGTAGTAGGTGTCCTGTAGGGTCCAGTGGCACAGCCTCCCCTATCACCCAAGCTGGGTACTTGAGGTGTGCCCTTCATGTGAGCTGAGTACACCCTTCTCTTGTAGTTAGGCTATGATTGTTGTTGTCAGGTCAATGGGAGGGATTTGTCCAGGCCAGTCAGCTGCTGTGGCTATGTCAGGTTAGTGGCTATGACCACTGACCACCAACTTCTGCCCCCCATGGAGGATTAGTTGAGCAGGGGAAGGGTGGAGGTGGTCTGATGTGGTCTATAGATGTCCACGGTGTGTGCAGGCTCTGGGGTTTCCTGGGTAGTGCAGGCCAAGGTCAGTCCCCAACCATGCTCTGCCTGGGGCCCCCTTCCTGAGCTATAAAGCAATCTGAGATGGCTGCTACTTGTGCTGGGCTTGGAGATTCCCAGGTGAAGCCAAGCTGTGAATCTAGACTGGCTGCTGCTAGTGCTGGGCCTGGGGCCACTTAGCAAGAGGTACTGGGACTGATAGGATTTAAGAAATTGTGAAGCATGAGCCAAGACCAGCCATTTACATGGAAAAGTCTCTGTTAGTTTGGGTGGGCCTGTAAGTTGGGTGAGCTGGAATCTCGGGGTATCTCCAGGGAGGGGCAAATAGTGTTAGCCAGCATGATGGAGTCTCGGACTTGGCCCCAGCCTGCTGGCTCTGTGGCTCTGTGGGGAAAGGATTCAGAAAAAGGACAATGGCCTATGCACACCTTTCTGTCTGGGAGAAAACTGTCCTCCAGCTCCCACCTTGATGCTGGCACTTCAGGTCTTCCCTATATGCTTCTGGTGCCTTTCAAGCTGTGACCCTGGTGCTAGAGCTCTGAGAGAATGAATCTGAGTAAGTCCATGTATAGATTCTTTAAGAGGAACTGCTTGGAACTCCAGAAGTTTCTTTCACTGACTCAATTCCCACTGGTGCTGTCACCCAGAAGTTACGGGGACTTATCTTCCTGGCACTGGAACCCTGGGCTGGGGGACCTGGTGTGGGGCTGGGACTCATCAGTCCTGAGATGCCCCCCCAAATTTTTGCCCACCATACATGCATGTGGGACCAGCCCGTTCAATGTCTCTGTCACTCCTACCAGTCTGAATGGATGTGGTTTAATTCTGTAGTTGTCAGACTCCCATTCACCTTGATTTCTGAGAGTTCTGAGTGATGGTTGTGGTATACTTCAGTTGTAATTTTGATGTGGTTGTGTGAGGAGGTGAGCTGTGTTTACCTATGCCACCATCTTGACCAGAAGTCCTCCTGTCCTGGCTGTTCTAAACAAATCTGGGTAAATATGTCTTTGGGTCCATTTAGTTCTGACAACAGTAGGGTTCAAAGTGAGTGTCCTAAGGTCAAGGGAAACTCTGCGGACAGAGTGGGGAAGCTCCCCAGGGCACGACCCTTCCACACTCCTGGAGCCCTGGAGTGTCCTCGGGCTCATGTGAGGCACAGCCCCGCTGGGTCCTTGGGAGTTCTCTGCTCCTCGCTGGCCTTTAGATTCTCTCCTGCAACCCTCAAGGTCCTTCCCAAAGCACCAAGGACTGGGCCCTACTCTGCTCTCCCCTAAGACAATGTGGAGGTCACCACCTTCACCACCTCCAGCCAGTCCAGGCTCTTGGCTCAGCTCCAGCTCCCCTCCCTCCCCTGCAAGGCTTTCCTCAGCCCAAGTGCACTACCCTGGCCCTAGCACCTGTGGTGGCAGCTACACCACCAGGACATGACAGGTGTGAGAGCCAGGGCCTCTCACACCAGTTGTGAGAGTCCAGGTCACCAGAGCTGGCTCACAGCTCTCCTCCAAGACTATCTTGCCCACCTCTGCCCCTTTCTGTTCTGTTCAATATGCCTGTAGTTAGCATCTGAGACAATTTGGGTTAACTCATCTGTTGGCGTGGGTCTCCCAGGCACAGGTGTGTACCTGGCATGAATCAGGGATTTTTTTTTTGTGGGGGGGGGGAGTGCACTGGAGGATAGTGGTTGTCTCTACTGTACAAAGGGGAAGTCACAGGCAAGGGCATAGCCTTCAAGGCCCCCAAAGGACTACTTAGAGGTCACTAAAGCCCCAAACATGTACCTCCCGAACCCTGTGTGTCCCCAGCCCTGGCCACCGCAGGAGAATGAACACTCCCCCACATCAGATGTGCACCTCCCTGCTAGGGAGACAGAAAGGGCTGGAACTGGTTGTCCACCCACCCTGGACACAGGCATCTAGGCCTCGGCTACAGGCTGTGATGACAGGGACCAAATGCTCTCTTCCCAGTTCCCTCCAGTAAGCCCAACCCTGTTAAATCACGGACTGGGGTGCTTTCCCATGTCTCAGGAATGGAGCCCAAAGCACCCGAGAGCCCCCATGCCCCAGGAGGGGGACATCCAGGAACAGTGTGGATGTTGGGGTGGGAGATGGAGAGAACATGCCAGAAGGAGGGAGGTGGCCTGGGGGACGATGGACCGGACCGACATTGGAACCCATTTCCTTGGTATATCTCTAGTACTCTTCCCTTTTCTGAAAACTCACCGAGTGCTCTTAGAAACCCACAGATGTAAGAACCCAAACCAAGTGATAGAAAGAGTTACGCCACCGGGCCACTCCCCAGGGTGGCTCCTCATGTCTCTCTGTCCCCAGGGCTCCCGGCTCCATTCCTCCTGTGGCTGATTTTTCACCCTGGTACAGCCACTCCCGGGGACTCCCCGCCTCTCCACCCTCTGCCACCACAAGGAGAAGTGGGCCAAGCCCGGAGCAGCCCAACTTCAGGCTGAGTTTTGTCATTTCTGAGGCAGACACTTTCATGAGAGGCCCAAGCACTCCTGGGGGCTGGGGGCTGAGCACTTGCTCAAGGAGCACCCACCCCCAGGCGTGCTGCCAGAGCACTGAGTGAGGAAGACAGTAACTGGAGCGTGGGTGGGGCGGGGTGGGGGGCGGCGAGAAGGGACAGGGGAGGAGGAGGAGGAGGAAGAGGAGGAGGAGGAGGAGAAGAAAGCAATCTGTGCTGAAGTGCAGGATTGTCTACAAATCGGAGGGCAATGCCCGTGGCGGTGTAAGGGAAGGTAAAGGCAGGCTGAGCAAAGACCCCGTTTCCTGTATTTGGGTTCCCAGCAGCATTCTGACCCTTGGGGCGGGCTGCTTTATTCACTGTAACTACTGAGTGTGCCTTCTGTCTTCTCTTTCTCTTAACGTAACCTGCTGTCAACCTGAGGGACAACAACTGGCATCCATACCTCTACTCCAGGGACTCCTGGGCAGGGGGACAGCAGGCAGGGCTGGGCTGATGGGCCCGTAGCCACTAATCACCCAGCATTTACTGGGCACCCACCAGTGGCCAGACACTAAGCTACAAAAGCAGATGATACAACTCTGACCTTGAGCCTCTCCAGGCGGAGATGGGAGAGACAGACCTACAAACGGATCAAATTTGACCCCAGCCAGGGCAACGCAGGGAATCTGAAGTAGCAACGCATTTCTGACAGCACAGAGGACCGAAGAGCTAGCTCTGCCCAGGTGTCAGCGAGGTAATGTATGTGAGCTGAACCCTGGAGGGTAAGCAAAGTAGTGAAGGGAACGGCATCCCTGACATGGGCGAGAGCAGGAACAAGGGCGCCGAGCTGTGCAAAGACTCGGTGTGCAGGGAGAGGTGAAGAGACCACGGAGGCAAGAGAGGAGCAGGCCTAGGCACAGGGTTAGGAGACAGAGGACAGGCGGGTTGGGCCTGCAACTCGGGAGCCTGAGCTGGTCCCAGAGACAATCGATATGGCAGGAAGGAGAGTAAGTGTGAGGTTTTTAAGAAGTCAAAGATGGCCCTGGCC